AGAGAGAGAGAGAGAGAGAGAGAGAGAGGGAGAGAGGGAGGGAGAGAGAGAGAGAGAGAGAGAGAGAGAGATGAAATTAGCCAGACTTTATGCATTGTGCAGATGAAGCCCTAAGGTCTTTAACTGATGTGAATAAATTTGTTTTGTCCATATAGTATATTTATTTCATGCTGGGTTGACTTCAAATATAGAAAACCAAACCTGAGATTTATAAATGTTTAAATAAATATTCAAATGAAAGCATAAATTAGATAAACAAACAAACAAATCCTGGGTCATTAGTTAGGCAAGTGGAGTGAGAACAGTCAATTAAAAGGAAAAAAGTAAATGATTCTTCAGACATGAGATATCTGAACACAAAGGTATGTTATGATATTGAGATGGGTTAAAATAAATTGTTTCAAATGCTTTCCCCCAAAATAACTAAGGTTGCAATTTGATATGCCAAGTAACTTTTTTTTCTATGAAGAAATGTTGGCATAAAAGAAAAATGAATTGAGGGCTAGGGATGATTATAATACTTGCAGCATTCCAGATATTTTGATATTAGGCTTCTCTTACTTGACATTCAAATAAATTCAATGCCATGACTAAACATTTATTTAACTTGCACCTCTACCACAATCCAATGACTCTTAGCAACTTAATTCATAGACTTTCCACTCCAACTAGAGACAATGGCCATTAATCAAATCTAAGAGTTGTATTAGGAAAGAGAAGGAAATAGTTGTCTGAGAGTGTAAGAATGACTCAGGAATGATAGAGATGTGGTGGTAGGGAAATGGTTAGTTAGTTGGGAAATGGAAGATGGTGAAGGAGAGAGAGAATTTGCTCTGTGTTTTTAAGAACCTAAAAAGAAACTTGCTAGATCAAAGCAAGGTCTTATTTAATCCAATATTATTTTCCCATTGTGGCCAACCAAATGCCCTTGGATGTTCTTGATTGAAGTTAAATGTGAATTAGCCCTTCCTGATTTAAGAGTTCCACTGGTCCACAGCAATGGTGCATTTGTTCTACAGAAGCCACAAAATTGATGACCTCCAGAGAGCTTACCATAGAAAGGAATAACAAAGGCTGATCTCTATAGTCCAGTCGAGTGTATACAAATACTGGGAGGGAATAATCATGTGAGGTCATAAAGGAAATCCTCATGGATTCTTTCACTCTAAACTGTGAAAAGCGTAACGTGTTTTCACTGCTCCCGAGGGATTTCTTAATGCCAATGGAGGGATATAATGCTGCACTGCTATTCCACAACCACAAGAGTTCATTATTCCTCATGAGTTCGTTTTCTGGACATGAGCCAGTATAGTTCTGCTCATGGAAATTGTAATTGTGGCAGTCAGGATATAAGTAATATCCCCAGAGGCCCTTGGGCCTGCTTTTAATCCCCAGTTCAATTGTTTCTTTCATGAAAGCCTTAGCACATTTTTCGAAAGAAAATTTAGCTAAATGTTCAATAGCATTTGCAGAAATATTCTCTTGCAGTTTGGAAATTAGTTTCCTCGACTGTCTCTTGTAAATATTTTTTGTGTTCCAGTTACGCTCCCACTGTGGTCTCCAGTGTTCCCAGTCTATGACTGCCAGCCCAGTGAAATCCTTATCAGGAATATAGTAATTAATATCTTGATTAGCTTTCTCCAGGTGCATTTTCAAGCTGAAATTCTGAGGGAGGCCACCGTTGATTGGGATTTCTTGTGATGTGTACCAGGGATAATATCCCAGCCTGTTGACATAAAAGATGGTCACATTCTGTCCTCTTGCTTTGGCAAATGGACTTCCAATCACATGGAACACTCTTAAGCTGATTGTGATATTATATCGGATGGAGCAATGATCTGTTGGTGCGTTCCAGGCAGCTATGAAAGGCATCCGTCTAAACACAGGGAGCTGAGCAGACTTCAGGGCCAAAGCAGAACTCCACATAAATGACATCTGTAACCAGAATGTAGAACGGACCTGCTAGGAAATAGAAAACGATTTTAACTTTGATAGTTTACTTTATTGATTAGTCTTTGGGCCATATCAAAGTGCAGAGTTCCAGACACAAATTATTACTAAAATCTGATAAAAACAGTTTAAAATGGAATTGGATAAAATACAATTTAAAATGAAATTTGAATAAAATACAATAATTTGATATGTGGATAAATGAAATATGATAAAGTTATATTTCTGGATCACTCCTACAATCTACTCCAATCAGACCCACATATGCTGATCTCAAACGAACCACTTTGCTTAAGTGCTGTGCTGTGTTAAATGTTAAGGGGAAAATTTCCTTGAGATATAAAAACATTTAGTCTCATCATTTTATTCTTTAATGG